TATATATATATATATATATATATATATATATATATATTTATAAAAACACACACACACACGCGCTCACAAAACTTCTTCGCTCTTTGGAAAATTCAGTGGTTTCAGTTTTCTATCGTAATTGAAGGTTAAAGTGATTCCTTTCCTAGATGTTTTTTGGCCATATATTTCCATTACCCAAACTTCGTATGTTGGTGCCAAATGCCAAGATATCCTCTCTTTATACACAGCAATGGATTTTTTTTTCCAGAGTGTTCACTCATAAATATATATATATATATATATAAATAATAAACACAAATTTAAAATATTATATCACTACATTATTACAATTGTCCAAAATTCTCATATTTTAAAAAACTTATAATTACATTATTATAATATCATCAAATTCATAATTTTTAAAAATATAAGTAACTGAATAATCATTCAGTAAATAATCATTGTTAGTACTATTAAATTTTATTTTGATGGATTTATCAAATTATATTGACAAAAATGATATTAAGAAAAAAATTTTGATGATGTCCTTAGAAAAATTTTCTTTTAATTTTTTTTTTTAAATATTTGAAGTGTCTGTGAATACGGCACTCCAACCTTTGCATCTGTATACAAAAACAATTCATACCCATGCATAAGATGATTATCAGCTATTGGTGTAGGGATATCCAAGAATTCTTCCTTTGTTAGATCAAAAGCAGTGATGCACTCGTGTTTTTGTTTTGAACCATTTACAATTCCTTTTTAATAATATGATTTTAATACATCTTAAATTACAATATGAATAAAACCAAGTTATTAAATAACATAAAATAATAAATAAAATTAATAATTTTCATTGATTCTATTTTTTATTTTGTATGTCCTCCATAGAAAATGTAGCTTTCTAATAAAATTAATATTATGAATGATTTTTAAATTATAATAAAATATTTAATATGATAATTAAATTTAAAAAATTTTTAATATGATATTTGAATTAATCACATTAAAGATAAATATCAAATTAATTAATAAATTTATAATTTAAATATCAAATTAAAAAATTTTAAAGTTTAAATGTAATATTAAATATTTTATTATAATTTAAAATAATTCATAATATTTATTTTTATAATTTTTTTTGGGTATGCTCTGCTCGATCTTATGCTACATCTTTATATAAAGGGACCTTTTTCCACCATTAAAAAGTTTTGAGTGTGAACTGAACCCTTTTTAGCAAAGGATTAATTTTACGTTGATGAAAATATTAGAGACATGCCTTAAAGGGCAGTAATGTTTTTTAATTTTTTTAAATATTTCCTGATTCTACCTTATTTTCCTCTATTTTCTTGAAAACTCTTCAAAAATTAATTATAGATGATGTTAGATCCATCGGTTAAACCAATCAATCAAACTAGTTAGACAAGTTAAATCAATGACAGGAGATTTTGATTATTGGTCTAATTTAAAACATTGTGTCTATCAAGTTGGACTGATAAGAAATCGGTTTGATTATTTTGATTAATATTTAGTATTATTATTTTTTTAAAGTTAATCACAATTTGAATTGATTTTTTTAAATTGAATTAATTTGAATTGAATTTTATTGATTAGTTTTAATTTATTGATTTGTAAAATTTTATTTATTATTATTGTCATCTTATTTCTAAAAGGGAATATTAACTTATATCACTATAATTTTTTTTAATTTTATATTTTTTTAATTATTGATTTTAATTAATTTTAAAAATGATATTAAATTATTTTTTTATTTATCTATTTCATCTTTGAATCAATTCAAATTAATGATTAAAAAAATATGAAACTTTTTTTATGTAACTTGATCTTTCTTTATTTTAAAAGAAAAATTATTTTTATTTTATAAAATAATAACATTTATATAAAAATTAATAAAAATATAATTATGTTCTATTTAAATTTTTTAATTTAATGAATCAAAAATCATTTGAGTCAAATTAAAATATTTATTCGATCTGAATCAAATAAAAAAATTCCTTATAAGTTTTAATCGATTTTTGATTTATCAATTCTTTGAAAAGGTTTTCGGTTTCTTTATTTTTTTTTCCCCAGCCTTCCTGGCAGGAGCTTTGTTCTAACAAAAATATGTTATATATTTTGAAAAAAATTTGAAATTAACTAATCGTTAGGTTGCTGGGGTCGAAACCGTGTCCCATGAGTAAAGGTTTTTTATTTTACATAATTAGCGTATTTTTAATTTTTTCGTGCCTTCCAAAGTCCAAAACAATCAGGCCCAAACTGATTATCCTTGTTTGTGCTCTTTACAGAGTCCAGTGTTCTAAAACAGAAAACCAAGCCTTTATGGCAGTAGTTTCAACTGCTCATTCAACTGCCTCCCTTTTGCACCACATAAATGGTTTCAAACGCTTCACTTTCTTCTTACCCTTTTCTTCTTCTTCTGTTGCTGCTTCTTTGTCCACTATGAAAAAATGAAGACAACCAGTGGCTTCCTCAGTGCTAGAGCTTGGTGGAATCAGAATTGCTAAAGATGGTAAAAAATTGCTACTTTTATGAACTTGGACTTTGCTGTTATATGATTTTGTTGACTTTTTCACGAACTGAGCCATTTCAGTATTTGCAGATATAGCATTTTGACTATGACTAGTAAATTGTTAAGAGTAATGGGTATTTTATCCCCTGTTTAAATCTGGGTTGGCAAAGGTTATTTGCTTTTATGTGTTGCTGCTTTCTTAAATATGCCCTTTGTGTGTGTTCAAGTTGTATTTGGTAAGAAAGTTCAATTTATGGTGTTTTGATTTGGTATGTTTTGGAACGGAAGATGTATATAAGGTGATTAGTCTAGGTAGATTACACCTTTCTTGGAGTATCATGAATTGATTGAAAGTGTCAGCAATTGAAATCTATTGTTGAGTTTTTTGGTTTGAAAATTGGCATGGTATATGCTTTGATATTTTGTTATTGGTGAAATTTGATTCATCACTTTCTGTGTTTTCATAATTTATGAATGATTTAGTATTGTTTGGATGGTGGGATTTGTAGATGTGGTGAGGGATGATCCAACAAACAGTGTTCCGGACACAATTTTTTCAAAACATGGAATGCAGCTCCATAGAAGGAATAACCAGTCTCTTGGGATTCTGAAGAATGGAATGATATATGAGTCTTTTGATATTAATTACTCAAACATTTTTATAAGTTTGGTGATCTCTGCCCAATTGTTTCAGTAAAACAGGTACAATGTTTGTCCACTATTGCCG